CACGTAATCATGTTCTTGAGTTCAAAGTTAGTTATTACTAGTGAAAAGAAAACAGAAATAACCATACGCAAGCACTTCGGATTTGCCTAGTATATTTCAAAGATGGTTCTTGTTTTTAAGTGTATTCTTCTTCTGATTTAAAGAAAGTTACTTTGCCAGATGTAAGGCTGTTTTTGCTACTGTTTCTATGTCACTTGTGTGATTCTGAATTGTTAGAAAATTAAATCGTACAAAAAATATTTGTTTACATGCTTATAGTTCAGTCTTTATGTCATACCCCTATCCAATGTTATGATGTAATTGTCTTACCTAGACTACCAATACACATAATATATTCAAACTTCCAAATGTCAATAAAAAAAAAACAACCCTAAAACTTATCAGGCTTCCTCGTGAGACGATGTAATGAAATGAAATGCTAGTTTTGATTAAAAACTGTGAGGTGTTAAAACCTTACGACATAATATGCTACTAGATATATTTTAACGTTACTGCAGTAATACAATTATTACACCCTCAGTTATTCTGAAGTGTAGTATATTTTACAACTTAACGCTTTAACAGTTACAAAATTCAGTTCCAATTAATTAAAATTACTCTGATTTTCCAACTACCTTTTTTTTTTCTTCTTACATTAAATACAATTCTCTGCTGGGTAATTGTGAATTTACCGTCTAAATATCGTCCACAAATTCCTAAATTTAAAAAAAAGTATAACATTTAGAAAAAAAAGTAAGCTAATATTGTTATCGTTTTTGCCATTGGTCAAATTACCGTAAACAACATTAAGGGAAGGCAAACTTTCTATTGTAAAAAACTGTATTTAATAAAACGTTTCAATACAACAATTGTGTGCCCAGAGTATTTCTTAAGTTTCTTTTTTTGTCAATCATAGTTCATCTCTTAAAACAAATCACCGAATTATTACTTTCATTCGTTATGTCAATGTATTTTTAAAATTCCGATACAATAAATTCCCAATACAATTTAAGAGTGTTTCACATTAAATAACATATATGTATATATATGTTCATTACATGTAACAGTTTTGTGGCTAAACTTGTACTGTTTCGTACCCTTAGAAAAATCCTCAACGTTCTTTAATGGGGTTGAAGTTTTGGACGAAAGAGTGCAATTACATATCCAATGTTTCTTTATCTTCGCTTATAATTCTCTACGGAAGTGAAACTAGAAAGGTCGCGGGTTAAAAAACTAACGTTTAATGTGCTTCTCTCGCTGAGTTAACGTGTGGTAAAAAGTTCACTAACGTAAAAGGGGTAAGTATTGCATTACCATCGATTAATTCGAACATTGTAAATGGGTAATTATTTTTGAAATACAAATATCAAACAGTTCGAGGTCAAACACAATGAAAAATGCACATACACACAAGGGGGACGAGACATGACACACGAAAAAGAAGATGGAATGGCCACACAAAGCGAAATTAGTCCACTGCATGGTTTGGGCTGGAGTACTTTTTTAGGCTATACGTAAACATTACGTTTCATGGTAGCTGATCCGCTACGTATTTGCTTTAGATTTTTCATACGAATGTTCAAGAAAGTAATTAAATTTATTAAATAACGCAGCATCAGTTGTTTTATTACGGTATACATGAAATTACGAAAATGATATAACCAATGATATACGTTTTTTTTTTTAACTGATACACACATCGCCTTATGATTGTAGTAAAAACAGTACAAAATTCAAAGCTAATTAATGGAATTTTTTTACAGCCTATAATACTCTTTTGTTTCTCGATTCATAGTTATTTAAACAAGTTTTAATAAATCTGAGTCTAGGTTTTTCGAGATGAAACTTGTTATTACAAGATGATAAAATTTATCAAAGTGACCAAAGACATATATATAAATTACAGAATACAACTAACTATGGTGTATTTTGACACAACTTTTTTTTTTCTAAAACACGGAAAAGCACTGTGTATGTGTTTACTTCGTACTAAGATCTTTGAAAAACTATTAACTCTTACCCCTAAAAAATCCAATAGCAATTCGATATTTATAAAAGTAATTTTGATGATAAGATTATAAATTTACGAATAAATTACTCATTGAAATTATTCATTATTGTTTAAACCACAAGAGTTCCCCAGAGCAATTCCGAAGGTTATCGAATCGGTAATTTCACTGTATCAAATTCTTCGCCGAGACCCACCCATTCATTCAGCGAGTTTATACCAGGCTATTGCAAAAGCAGATTTTTAAACTCACCTGCTAGATCTATCTTCACATACCTTTCGTATAAAAGTAAATGTTGTATGAACATAGGTATTGTCAAATAATGCATACACTTTGTCAGAACAGTGGGGAATTTATATAGAAAAAGAAATCACGAATCTAGAGCCAAGCCGAAATACAGTCCTACAAACTCTACGTAAATTCAAAATAAATATGCAATTAAGTGTACGAACGAAACTGAATATTCAAAAGTTGCTGTTAACCTATAACAAATTCTGCTATTACCTTCTGATCAAAGCATAGATCAAAACTAAAACTCAACCCGGTAATGAGTAGAGCTAATTAAATATTATTCCTTCGTTCTTTCTTTTAAAGACTAGAATACATTGTTTCATCAGTTAGCTAACCTTGCTGTTAGCGTTTTTCCTATGGATACCCCAATAATATCTCACGAAGTTCGACCACTTTAGGAAATTTAAGTTATTCCTAAACCCACATACTAAGTTGATAATACAAAATAATATCTATAATAACAATAATAAACATATATTAAACTTTCTAACCAATACAGTTAAGGAAAGTAAGGTTACAGAATGAATACTGTACACTTTATTTACGGAACACAAACGCTGGTGTTTTAAGTACTATCGTAGGTTTTAATTTTGGGGAAACTTAACATCAGTATTAACAAAACTTCATACAGCCCTTGTTAACATTGTCTTGTAACAAATAAAGCCTGTTAAACCACTCCGATGGTGCAATCTTTAACTGCACTTGGCACTATAACAGTCTTACTTGCTAATTACCTTTTCTTAAACATAACTAAGTAGTAAGTTTAACGAAGACATTTAAAATGTGTAAAATTGATTTTTGGCACTTAGTCAACTATTTCCAACTTTTGTCTAACCGAATACTAAGATTTCTTATACTGTACCCACCCATGGCCCCAATGTGCGGAGCGTATTTTTGCGGCAATGGTTCGCAAACCATGAATGTCCAGATTCACAATCGTAGTACAATAACCACTCCTGGCCAAGCGGATCGGGAAGTAACGTCAACGTTTTAAGAATATTCATGTGACTGTACTGTTTCATAATATATTAAATTTACGTCTTTAAACTGCGATGTGATCTACAGTATGTTCGTGTAATTGAATATTGTTAAACGAAGTTAAAGCTATTTAGTTGAAATAAAATGAAACGATAGGACTTTTTTTTTTATCGTAGACAATATCGCGATTCTTTCAACCACAATATTTGGAAAACAGTCAGTCAGAAAAGAATGACTAATTGAATTTAAGAGCCCCGATAAGTTCAAAACTTTCATAAGACAGAGCTTTTATTTTTTTCTAGCTTTGAAGCCGTGAAAAGGAAACGTCTTATATCTCGGCAGCACTAGGGGTTCTTTAATTGTGATATATATATATTTAAATCACTTTTTTGAAAAATTGCTCAAATTGATGAATACATTAACATTCCGTCACATACTATTATGTCTTCAACATAACTGTTTAAACCCATATTTGAGACTTGTAATTGTTAAAAGAATAAATATTTATTACGTTTGTTTGGTAAACGGCTATACATTATCGCGAATCGGTGACAAACCGAAGCAAGGTAAAAATCTATCATCACCTACACACCATTTTTCGAGTTTCCTAATAGTTTCGTTATTGAGTTTTTCATGGACTGCATCTGTGTGGAATTTGTTGGAGTGACCGACGTTTCGGTCTAAATGTTAAGTTTTCATCATTTAAACTAAAAATTTAGTAAAATCTTCTTTGATTGAAACTGCTCTACAAAAATTTCACAATGCAGCACGTGCGTTTTGTTTTTGTTGACATTGGTATGAAAAAAACTGCTGCTTTAAGAACTTACCACTACTGACGTTTTGGTTGATCCTCTTCATAACGCCATAAAACACCAATTTAAAACAAAAACAAAAAAAAACAACTTGTGCCAGAAATAGCAATCAAATATAGAGTTTCACTATTTTAGTTTTCTCTTAATCCAAGAAGTAAGGAAAATCCGTAAGGTTGACACGCGTGTGCACTTTATACAATGCTAAAATCAATGAAACCTTAACCATTATAAACATACAGTTCGTTCTTGACCTTATGTTAAAACCAAATGCTTAAAAGTTGTCTTCTAAATTATCAGTTTAATTGCTGTTAATTAACGAGATGAAAAAATCAAAATGAAGTGTAGGTGAACACAAAAATGAATCATTATCTTCTTACGTGATTTAGAACCATTTTAGAAAATGGTTCTACGTATGGATGATAAATATAAGGGTATAGCTTATAAATGTTTAATTTTCTTTTAATAAAATAAAACGCAAAACTGTAAAATAAACAAATCATTGAAAACGACAAACCCAAACTTGTAAATATATTAAGCAATAAATATCCAACAAAACAGTAATCCAATACAGATCCCACCACAGATTACGACTGCTTGTTCCAAGCCCACGCTTCTCTTGTGTGGTTATATAAATGAGGATTCAGATACAGTTGCCCAAGCGGAATCCATATGACTGAGAAATCGAAAAACATTCTTCGTGAGATCTTTTCATTGCCACATGTGAAACCCAAACTCCTTGATAACATTAAGCCATTTTGGAATAAAAACGATAATAATAATGATCCACCACACTTCTTTTTTTTTCTTTTGCTTTTAAAATATTCCTATTTATCAGCATGACATACGGACGCAGCCGTTTGGCCACGAGAACACAAGCCCGTAAATGAAGCACACACAGTCCGTCAAAATTTGACGGCACACACTCACGTACCGTTTAAAATGCTCCAATATCCTCTCTTCCCGAATATTATCCGGTAAATTTCCAATCCAGAGGTGTCTAGTCTCTCTAACCATCTTGCACAAGGGTCCACATCAGGTCTTTTCTCTCGCACAGCCCATCTGACAAAATCATGCACGATGTGTTTTGCTCGCGAACGGCACACACGTACGATCTCCACCGTTTAAATGACGTCATACTGGCAGCTACCTCTCGTGCTGTGCGGTAAAGTACGAGCGCAACTCTACGAGCCACATCCTATGGCAACAACAAATAACGAGGTAGTGGGTTCTTTCCATGAAGTTCCGGTCGTGAGTACAGATTCCACATGCTGGACTTTTTTTTATTGATACTTTTTTGTATTTATCATAACTGTTTTGAAATTTGATATAGTTTAATTAAAATTATATTTAACAGTTCAATAAAAAATTATCAACAAAATATGTAAGATGAGTTAAAAACTAGACTGTTTAGTGTTATCTTTATTATTCACCTTTTCAAGCACTTTAAAATGGACCTAAGTTAGGTTTACTGGGGTTCATTGGTGATAGCCATGTGAGCTAATAACGTTTAACATTTTTTAGTTATATATTACTACTTGATGCATAATATTAACATTACATATATAAAAAACAAGTTGGAACTTGCAACATAACTTTTATTTCACTTCAGCTAAATGTTTTTGTTTCCAAACACAACATAAATTATGTCATAATATTAAACTTAAAATATCAGATTCATATTGGCCCTTGAAACAGTTTTCCCAGTATGTAATCCTGTATTACACAAGTTACAAATTAACGTACTTTATTGAAGACTCATAATACAAATACTACACATATTTGTCGTCAAAACAATAGATGGGAAGTTAATACCAATCCTCACCTTTTATGTCATTAAAATATTAAATTTTCAATTCTAAAAGTTTCAGTTTTTAACAAGATCTTTCAAAGTTAACCACTAAATATAATTTTTACAGACTTAACAAAAGATTATAAAATTAAGAGAGATAACTATAATTTTATAGGGTAAAACTATACATATTATTACAAAAAGATTCTAGGAAATTAGTAAAATTGTTTTAAATGTACAAAAAAGCAAGTTAAAAATTTTCCAATTACACGATGCCTTTGTTGTAAGGAAAAATAAAACGTGTAAACTGTAATTAGGAGTCAGTATAGCAAAAGAAACGATGATTCACCTTCACCTTTTCAAAAAATAAGATGCCCACAGTTTAAAATGGACATATAATTCCTACAAAGATATGTAATCCTTCGTAAATATCCTGTGGTTTTAGCATTATAAACAGATAAAGATAAATAATCCCATTAAGGCAAGAACACAAAGTTTTCAAGAGTTATTCCTCGTCCTGTTGTTAAAACAATATGGCGCCCACCAAAAATCTCAGCCTATGACAGATGCATCTTTCAAGTAAGCTTACCGCTATAATCGTAACACAAAAAAAGTCGCCAAACTCATTTTAATTTCAATTTAAGCTTTAAAACATCAATCTATGCATTGTAAGATATCTTCTTCTGAACAGCCAGAACAAATGGCTGATTAAATGCATAAGAATAATCTCCCTTACTCAATTCACAAATAATACCCTGCAAACAAAGGCGCGACTGCCTGAAACGTCAAAAGGAAAAGGTTGGAGAGGATGAGGTGTGACGTCACCAGAAAATTGATTTTCATTGGTGTATTCAATAGTAAAAACGATCCCAGTAGCTTCTGTGTTGCCATCTACCATTTTAAAATTAAACAATATTTGGTTTAGTAATAATAATCTATTTTCGATTAAATTCAATGTTGTCTTGATTATATATATATATATATATATATATTTCTTACTCATTCTTAAAGATATTGGTATATTTTTTAAAATACTAGTTTTTTTACAACAAGGAAATATTATTTTCACGTTTTTTACAGCTGTTAGGGAAAAGATGAATTTAAAAAATGTAAAGAATGTGTTATAATCGTCTGACAAAAATGATGTTTCAATTATGTAATATATGTAAGTTCTAAAGCTATCTATTAGTTTCTACAAAGTAGCATATTGTATTGTAGCTTTCAGAAAAATAAATAATTTTGAAACATTTTAGTTATTGCGTATCTGCGCTGTGTACGCCGCAGGACCGAACCCAGAAGTTATAAGCCACCAATCTTACTGCTGATTGCTGATTAACCGGGGAATAAGTTAAAAGAATAACTACAAAAGACATTTAACTTCAGAATCATATTGAAAATTGGCGTAGATTCTGTTTATACGCAATGCTCTTTCGTGACGAAATAAGATTTGAGGTTATCAAACTTTGCTGTCGGATTTAGCACTTGGGATTTGTTCACCTAGAGGTAGTATCGTTGAAAACATGAGTCAATATAAAACTATATCATGGCAATAAATTGCCCTTTACGGAAAGTTTTTGAACGATTGAAGTGCCTATAACTCAACATAAATATTTTGCCCACTCTCGGATCAGAGAAACGTTCACAAAATCGCTAGAAGAATATAATAACTCTCTCTCTTTTTGTCATTAACGCAATAAGGTTGCTGAAAATATGGCCTTTGTACAAAAATAAAACTTAAACATGGAAAATAAATATTTTAGTATTTTTACTGACCTATTAGCAAACTTTCTCACCTCTAAAATAAAATCGTTTTTTGTTTTATTTATATATATAACAGCGTTTTTTCTTTAGTTATATTTAACAAACAGTAATATTAAAATTTGCTTTTTCAAAAACTTCATTAATCTACATGTATGTGTACGTACTTCCAACAGACAATAATTTCAAGAATATCATTTCGTTTCTTTCAAAACATTGTTCAAAAACTAATGGATAGTATTGCTTGATATTGATCAAAATATGTAATACTGAGTACATACAAAACTATGTTGAAATATAACCTAATAAGTTATTTATTACTATAATTTTACTAGATAGATTTGTATAACGCTTCATACGTAAAAACACTCACTGACCCAAAACGGCCGTTGTTGACAACTTGAAAATTTCGAGCTGATTGCCATCTATGGTAATTTATGTGAATTAAACCTCAATACAGTTTATATGGGCATATTTTAATTCGTGTTTCTTAAAAAAAAAAAAGTAGGTGGAGGATTATTTAAAATGAGTTGGCATTTCATTCTAAGAACAAAGTATATATATATGTAGCTGAAGCAGGTAACATTGTATATTGGAGTCTACTTGTTATAGTTCTACCTTTATCATAGCTTAAAATTACGATAAAATTGAATATTTACATAAAAAATTCCCCCCCGGTGGGACAGCGGTAAGTCGACTTAAGATGCTAAAATCCGGGATCCGATTCTCCGCAGTTGTCACAGCAGATAGCCCAATGTGGATTTGTTCTACAAAAACAAATTACATAGAAATATTTCATTGTAAAGCCAAAATCAAAAAAAGATTATTTACTTAGATATGATGGAAAGTGACTTTGTACCAAAAATTTAACGCTTTGATCGTATAATTTCATGCAATACCTGAATTTCATGTTTAAAAAGCAACTTTTTAAGAATTTAAAATTTTGTAATTTATACCTGTTACTAAATCTTCGATGTCTCGGTTTTTAAAACGAATTATCATTTTTAGAACATTTTATTCAGTAGACTCGAGTAACACTTATGGAACATCCTTTTAATAAATGTATAAAGGTGAAGGAAAACCTTAAGTTTTAACCAATTTTATAAAATTTCAGATGTACAAATATCTACAGAACATTACTGCAAAAGTTTTACTACTTCTAGATATCTGTTTACAAATTATTAGATTTATGAGATGTATGCTTGTCACATGCATTTTGTCTTTTAACTTAATGACGATTGAAACTCCGCTGTTATGATCTTAGAATAATTAAATAATCCAAAGTAGAAATTTTAAATTATGTTTACGCTTTAAATCCTGGACATATCATCACACGTGGTATTCAGGTACAGTGATGTCCGACAGAAAAGTCTAAGGTATCCTCAAAAGGCATGTATGGGACTTTTATGAATAAATCGAACTCGGACAGCAAATTGAAAAAGGCTATTAAATACCCTTCCCAAAGGCGATCAATTTTCGGTCGAATCGCGCTACCAACAAACCCAAGACAATATCAATATATATATATAAAGTTCTGATATATGCCATTCCAACGCGACTTTATATCGATGTAGTTGTCACATGACTTGTATGTTTAAAATCGTTTGAACAGAGCTCAGATAGCTCATTGTGTAGCTTTGCACTAAAACAACAACAATACGATTCTTAAAAGTATTAAATTGTTTTGATTTTTTTTCGCTTCATTTAAATTAGAGAACATAATAGATTTTTTAACAAATATAAAAAAAGAGGTTTTTCAAAACATTTTGGTTAGGTTTTAGGATCAATTTGTTACTAAAATCAGGAGGTTTTAAAAATATTTTGGTCAAGTTTTGAGATCAATGTTGTTTTGACCTAAAGAGTTTTATAAGTTTATTTTAATTATAATTTATTGTATTTTCATTTAACCATTAACTACTATGGTGGGTCCTATATGACCCTAAGTAATTTTATTTTGTTAACAAATATGTTTCTCCAGAGAGACATACTGTTTTTCTGTTGTTTCTTCTTCTTCTTGCTTATTTCTTTTTCCAAACGCTTTTCAATCGACCGACATTCCTTCATTTCTTGGCGGATTAACTTAAAAGTTGGTAGGGTTATACCTTGGTCCAATACGCCCAAATGCCTTTTTCTTTTATTGGTTTAAAGATCAAACAACCCTTTTTTTTTGGGGGGGGGGCTCCTGTGCGGTCATACTTACAGCAATCAAGATGAAAATTGGCACAAATATATATTTTTATCCGTCCTACACATTGACATGAAAAATTGAATTTGTCCATTTTGAGTAGGGGGGTCAAAGCTCACAAAAGAGCATAATTTTGAGGTTTTTGGTCAATTACTTGGCCATATTTTGACCAATTTACATGAGATGTGGTACAAAGTAAAAATGATGGACTTGCCCATTTTTAGTAATTGTAGGGGGATCAAATGCCGCAAAAAGCATAATTTTAGGATATTTTGATAATTCTCCGCCATATTTTGGTCAAATTACATAGGACTTGGTCCAAAGATATTTTTTAAAGGTCCCATACATATATATACAAAAATATGAGATATACCCATTTTTGTTCATTTTAAGGGGGTGAAAATGTTAAATGTTAGGGGTTTTGGTCAATTACTTAGCCTTGTTTCGACCAATTTACAATTTGGAAAAATGATACTATTTGTAGGTCCCAAACAGAGATATAGACAATTTGGGGATTTTTGGCGTTTGCTCAATTTTTCAGTGAGGAAAGCACAATTTGTGATTTTCGTGAAAACTATTCATGTGTATGATGTCAACCAATTTACATGAGATTTGGTACAAAGATACCTTCTTGCAGATCTCAAGCGGTGATACAGACGGTTTTCGGTTTTTCTCTGTTTTTCACAACTTTTTTGGTATCAAAATTGGCCGTGTGGCATTCGCTCGTGAATGTTGGCTTTTTTAATTAATTTTTTGCTTCTGCTATGATATTG